CGTCCAAAGAGAACTGGTTTCAACATGTACGTAGAGTATACACGACCGCAATTGACTTTCCTTCATTAGTACCTTGCTCTACACTACATACCTCCTTGCAGAGAGTAGTCCAATTGCTTTGGATTTGATGTTGGGGGAGACAAGGTGGGGGAAAATATCCAGAATTTTCCCCGACGTATATATAAAATATGTTCTCCATTGGGGGAAAAAACTGCCTCCGGGTACAAAGGAGCTCCTGGAAACCCCTGAACAGATTGTATAGTCGGATCCTTACTTACAGATATTAGACTTTTTTCATTTCTTTCATTCATCGTTTGGTCAAATTTGTGCAAAAATTTCAAGATATATCATATGTTCCCAAAATTATCGTTCAATTTCCATCTTTTTTCGTTCGTTTTCTTACTAAAGGATCGTTCAGAAAAAACGTTTGTTCAGTAATAGTTGTTCTTTTTGTAAAATTCTTTGTTCAGTATTTTTCGAAAAAATCGTAATTGTTCAGAAAAGTTTAAAAAGTTGTTTTGTTCAAAAGTCATTAGTTCAGTAAAAAAAAACCATCGTTATTTTATATCTTTTGGAAAATTGTTTATTCAGTAAAAAAACGATAGTTTTTTCAAGTTCGTTCAAACAGTTTTAAATTGTTCAATTTTTTTTCATGCATTTTAAAAAAAACTATCCTTTTTTTCTCTGAACGATTCGTTTTGTTCGTAAATCGTTTGCCCTGGATCTAGCGCCCGCCCTTTGTTTCAGAGTGTTCACTAAAGTTAATTTTTATTCAAAAGGTAGTTTTTGCAGCAAAATAACTATTAACTTATATTTCATATATAAGTTTTCACCGTTCAGTTTCTTCAGCTGGTGATTTTAAAGTTTGAACTCAACCATTGTAAGAAGAGAGATAGTTTCTTAGCAAGATGTTTTGTAGAGAGTTCAAATACTGGTCAAAATTAATGTTAAACTCCTTGTTATATGTTACTTGTCATATGCTACATACATGTGTAGTATATGTATATATGTGATATGACTGACCTGGAATATTGGTTTAGGATACCCTTCACATAGTTTAACTCCCTTGTATCTCAAGTAATGTGTAGTATATAGTATATGTGATATGACTAACCTGTAATATTGGTTTAGGATACCCTTCACATAGTTTAAATCCCTTGTCTCATGTAATGTGTAGTATATAGTATATGTGATATGACTAACCTGGAATATTGGTTTAGGATACCCTTCACATAGTTTAAATCCCTTGTATCTCAAGTAATGTGTAGTATATGGTATATGTGATATGACTAACCTGGAATATTGGTTTAGGATACCCTTCACATAGTTTAAATCCCTTGTATCTGAAGTAATGAGCGCCTAAAAATTATCTTAAAAAGTTTAATCTGTCAGAAAAAGTCTATTTTTCTCAGATTTATAGATGTTTGTACATTATAAAGGAATATACGGTGTTAGGCGATTATATCAATACAATGAAGACGACTTTTTATTTGAGTTTTGATTGTCAACAAGCTTTTTTTCGAATTACAAGTTCACAAGTAATCAAAGAGGAGCTTTTTTAATTGACATCTTCTCTTTGTTTTCAAGTTTATGTGCAACCATGATTTTTAACATGTTGATTTAATTCAAAATTTTAATTGAAAGTCGTCTTCATTGTAATGATATATTTGCTTATGACTGTACAGTGTACATGATTATCAGCTGATATACCTGACTGTACAGTGTACATGATTATCAACTGATTTACCTGAAAACATAAAGGTAAATCCATTAATCCATTGAAAACCCTGGTATTGTTTATTTGACTGTTAACAAAACATAATTATATAATTAGGGAATGGTATTGGATTTTTAAAAAGTTATAAGCTCTCATACAGTAGATCTCACATATAAGGGTACATATGCAAAAGCGCGTAAAATGTCGTCTTGAAATTTATTTATTAGGAAGAAAGCTGCTCAGATGTTCGCAGCTTCATAAGGTTTAATAGAATTTATGAAAATATATTTCCAAATATTCTTTCTGGAAGTCATATTTTTTTGTGATAATTTTTAAGAAACTGCTTTTTTATTTCAAGGAAAAATAATAGCCCTGAAATATACAGGAAATCATTTGAAATTAAAACTTTTTTTTCCGCGGCATTTGATCATCAATAGGTTAAGAATATGACATGTAAAAACTCTTGATTTATCCATATAATTGGGATTCCCTGTATTTAAAAGTTTCTTGCTCTAATATTTCGAATTTTCTAGATTTAATATTTAAAGTTTTCAACTCTAATATTTAAAATTTATTAGTTCTTATTAAAAATATATTTTCCTTCAGATTCTCCCAGACTTGAGATATAGTTCTTCTCATCTTGGTTTTCCGTCCATTTAAACCAACCTATGCAAAATCAGGGGACATTAGTTCCAAACCTTCCATTTAAACCAACCTATGCAAAATCAGGGGACATTAGTTCAAACCCGTCCTTTTAAACCAATCTATGCAAAATCAGGGGACATTAGTTCAAACCCGTCCTTTTAAACCAACCTATGCAAAATCAGGGAATATTAGTTCCAACCCGTCCTTTAAAACCAACCTATGCAAAATCAGGGGACATTAGTTCAAACCCTTCCTTTTAAACCAACCTATGCAAAATCAGGGGACATAAGTTCAAACCCGTCCTTTTAAACCAACCTATGCAAAATCAGGGGACATAAGTTCAAACCCATCCTTTTAAACCAACCTGTGCAAAATCAGGGGATATTAGTTCCAAACCTTCCATTTATACCAACCTGTGCAAAATCAGGGAATATTAGTTCCAAACCGTCATTTAAACCAACCTATGCAAAATCAGGGGACATTAGTTCCAAACTGTCATTTAAAACCAATCTATACAAATACAGAGGACATTAGTTCCAAACCGTCATTTAAAACCAATCTATACAAATACAGGGGACATTAGTTCCAAACCGTCCTTTTGAACAATCTAAGCCAAAACAGGGGAGATTAGTTCCAACCCCTCCCTTTATACAACTCTATACAAATACAGGGGACATTAGTTCCAAACCGTCCTTTTAAACAATCTAAGCCAAAATAGGGGAGATTAGTTCCAACCCCTCCCTTTAAACAACTCTATACAAATTCAGGGAACATTTATTGTTCCGAACAATTCCTTTAAACAATTTTATACAAATTCAGGGGAACATTGGTACGTTGGGTCAAAAAAAAAAATAAACTCACTTTATAATCAATCATTAAAACTACATCAAAAACTGATAAACCTTTCTGAGCATACATTGTTATTCCGAAAAAATACGAAAAGTTTCAATTAGAATATATATATATATTATATATACATTTTGGTTAAAAGCTTAGGTTTTAAAGGTATGTAATTTTATGTGAACTTACATTTAGAAAGAAAAATGCTTGATCACAATACCCTTTAAACCTTTATCTGCTTAATAATATGGAAGATGTTGTCCCGTTGCAAGCCTTAAGGGGTTTATTTATGACAATATCCTCCAATGTTTCTGAAGCAGAAATGCGCAAGTCATTAAATATAGAGAAACTACAATTGAAAATATACAATCTTTAGTTAGAAGCTATATGTATTGTGTAATTCATTCATTCTTTCAAGGGTACTGTTGTGAATCTGGCGTGTCACTCTAAAATAAGGAGGATTCCTGAAAATTATATGTCCAGTCCTCTTAATCTACCTGAAAACTAGGAGTACAGTCCCCTTAATCTACCTGAAAACTAGAAGTACAGTCCCTTTAATCTACCTGAAAACTAGGAGTACAGTCCCTTTAATCTACCTGAAAACTAGGAGAACAGTCCCTTAAATCTACCTGAACACTAGGAGTACATTATCTTTTATCTAACTGAAAACTAGGAGTACAGTCCCTTTAATCTACCTGAAAAATAGGAGTACAGTCCCTTTAATCTACCTGAAAACTAGGAGTGCAGTCCCTTTAATCTACCTGAAAACTAGGAGTACAGTCCCTTTAATCTACCTCAAAACTAGGAGTACAGTCCCTTTAATCTACCTGAAAACAAAGAGTACATTCCCTTTAATCTACCTGAAAACTAGGAGTGCAGTCCCTTTAATCTACCTGAAAACTAGGAGTACAGTCCCTTTAATCTACCTGAAAACTAGGAGTACATTCCCTTTAATCTACCTGAAAACTAGGAGTACAGTGCCTTTAATCTACATGAAAACTAGGAGTACAGTCCCTTTAATCTACCTGAAAACTAGAAGTACAGTGCCTTTAATCTACCTGAAAACTAGGAGTACAGTCCCTTTAATCTACCTGAAAACTAGAAGCACATTTCCTTTAATCTACCTGAAAACTAGGAGTACAGTCCCTTTAATCTACCTGAAATACATTGCTGGAGGTTACAACAATGGTTGACTCTCCTCCTCCGATGATACTAAAAATTTAAATTTCCGGAAAAAAAAATTTCACATCACGGCAGGTTATTTTAAGAAGGTTATTGGATTTTTCACTTCATTAACTAGTTATCATCAAACCCCGAAGAACATACTTTATACACCCTATCTGACTTCAATATTCCCTAATAGATTAAATGTCAGTTTTGACATTTGTTATTTTACAATTATCTGGCAGATAAACCTGTAATAATCGGGTAAAAATTTCAAATTAAACATTTCTGAATTAAAATGATCCTTTGATACCCATTTTGACGTATTTCACAGACACAGACTCTTATTTATATATTCTAAGGCTCTGTTAGTTACACGCTGATATATATCTATATACTTGGCTTGTCTGTTTGTTTGTTTGTATCCAATAAACGTCAAAACGGGTGAACCGTCAGGGCCCAAATTTTTTGGGGGACCTCGCAGGACCCCAGGTAGGGTTTATGGATGATCGAATTAATCAAAAACTTGCTTTTAACAAAATTTCGAAAATTCACGAAATTTTTTTTTTGAAATCCGCGAATTTTTATTTATTTTTAAAAAAAATGTTATTGATAATTATGTTAACGATCGTTAACGAAACGACGAACTGTATCTAAACGGTCGTTTTTGAAAAAAAAATTACATGCAACTTTATTGAATGTCGTCTTACATGAAGTTTAACAGTTGTGGGGGAGTTAAATCGATAGATAGATC